TGCACGTGGAAGACATGAAACAAAATATTTTTTTTAGGTTTTTATATATACTTTTGAATAACTACAAAATCATAAATTACTACATCAATATCATAGAATTCTATTATAATTTACCACACGTAGTAACTAAGCTGTATTTGGATCTAAAAAATATGAAATTTCGTGCAGACTAAAGACACAACCTACCTCATTGAAATCTTGATTGAAAAGAAAGAAATCGTAGAAGAAACGTTAGAAAGGCTGAGAAAACCACTAGGGGGGCATTCCAAGCTTCTGATTGGTTATTCATGTCATATATAGAAATAAGTGTATATAAAAGAGCATTTCCCAAAATAAAAAGAGGTGGGTGGGGTGCCACTGTGTTTGATTTATTACATGAACAATATATTAGCAAATAGAAAAGATAAGACCATCTTATTTTATATTATAGCTTGTTAATATCTGTAATTTGAGTTTCTAATTTGTATGAAATTATACTCTTAACAACTATTTTGACTTTGCAAACATCTAATTTGAACAAGTGCTGCATTCACCACATCACGTGACACACAAAAATTGATGTTTATCTGTTTTTTTTTTAATATTTACTTTTAAATCAACAAATTGAGTAATGTATAGTTCTAAAATATGATTCATAATCTACAGTTTGATACCAAACTTATTGACATAAATTAATTAAATAGTAGTTCAATAAAATTTTGAATGCGAGTCAATAAACAAGATGACATGGCCTTTCACCTGTTACCCATCTTGAAAACACTTTCAATATCTGTGATTCTAATTTTTTAATTAAGTACAGCTGTTATTATCAAAAATCATGTTTTGAAAAATATTTTATTTATTTTATGAATTACTTAAAAATAAAATACCTTCTTCCTCAAAAAATTAACCAGTTGTTTACCTTACTGGTTTGGTTTAGCAATAACATTAATACTATTTCTTCAGTAACGAATAAGTAATTTAAAAACAGAGAGTGGCTTTTCTATCCTGCTTTACTTTTTAAATCTACACTTAAAGAAAGGAACTCCACCTTTCTGTTCTATTTTCATTACTTTCCTAATAAAATACCTATAAAAGCATGTGCTAGATTAATATAAACTATTAGTATAAATTGAATACCTACTACTAAAAAGTCTCTTTCTTCCAGCAAGTTAAACTATGTTGGTTTACACACAAGATAAGCTATCAAATAAAAGATTTTGCCTATAAAAGATAAACTGCATTAATTTAGATCTTTATACATTGTTATAACATCTCAGTAAAGCTTTGTCATTTATTTGAAGATAATACCTATGTACATGATTTTTAAAATAAAGTTTTAAAATAGATTGAAAGAAAATTGAACAACTATTAAAATGAGATATTAAATTCTATTTTGAAAAATAATAAAAAATCTATTACTTTGATTTGTTACTAAATTTATAAAATAACTTTAAAAAAATCTTAATTTGTATCACTGAAGTACTGAAAACAATCACAAATTAATTGAGAGGTGGGTATTTTTAGAGAATCCTGTTTTCTTAATTAAATATGTATTGTACATTTTGACTCTGAACATTAATCCCATAATCCCAGTATTTCCTATGTAAACATATCTGTCTCTTATGTCTTGTATTTATTTTTTTTATTAGTACTGATATTGATAAGAAAGAAACTGTACATTTTTGTTGACTAACATTGTGTGTATACCTGTTTAATGATTAATACTGTTAAGTATCTATTGTGGTGGTGTTTTTATTCACTTGCAACATTTCTTCTGGTAGAAAGAAATACAAAAGTTTAGAAAAAACAAGTCTGAAGTAACTGAAAAACATGCAACCAAAAAAATAAAGGAAAAAAGTTGGATTCAATACAAAGTCCAATAAAATTTAAATTATATAGATACATAGTCATTGTATTATTATGTGAAAACAATTTTCACATCTTTTCATATAAAAGTATATTTTACTTAGTTAATTTCTTCTATAATAACAAGGTCTTGAATAATACTATGAGAAAACTGTGTTTGATCACAGAATAAAAATCATTGCATAACTGATGAAAAAGAAATTAAATACATTAAATATTTTGATTTAATATTGCAAGTTAGATTATTCACAAACAAATATTGATCGTGATATGGAAAACAAAGTATGTTAACCAATATACAAAGTACTTTAAGGATAGGAAAATCCTTTCTCTCCCCATTCATACACTTCAAAGGTTTCGTGAAATATCAAAGTTCAAGTACATTTATGCTGGCACAACAATAAAGAAAAATGCCAATACTTGAGAAACTGCAAGGAACTAACTGTTCTAACATTAAGTAACATAATAAAAAAGGACCACATAAACACACACACACACATATATATAATGTTACTTCACAAAGTTTATCACTCAAAAGGACAACAGTTTACTAACACACCTACACACATTCATCAACGTTCTATATCACACATGACAGTGTGGGAAAATTTCATCTTTTTCCCACGTGCCTGAATGCCTATTTCTATAAAAACCAATTCCACATTTGTTCACAAAAGTAGCATTCAAAGGAATATTTTTTGTAAAATATTGAAATAGATATATTAACTAAATTGATTTTCTAAAAATTCATTAAGACAAAACAGAAACAAAATATTTATAACATCATTTTACTTGTACTTGGTTGGATGTGTATGCAGGATTCTTAAACAACACCTAGCACAATATACAGTTAATATTTGTTCAAATACTACGAATACTTTACAACAGAATAAACTTCTCATTTAACCCTTTTGAGACAGGTAACAGGTGAAAGGCCACATCATCTCATTTGTTGACTCACATTCAAAATTTTATTGAACTACTATTTCA